GTCTATGGTTTAGCCACAGAAATTTGTGTTAATTAATACAAAATAATGAATGAATAAATGACTTTTATTAGGTGATGCATTCCATAACATTTCCAGTCAAACGTGTAGTAAGCTAATATAGTAAAAAAGCTGTTACAAATTGTGTTACAGTCTCATGCTGTACTTCATAGGCATAATTTTCATGCTAAGGAGACAACTTGTTCTGCAGTCCAAAACGTTGTAGAATCATCGAATGGTTTCGGTGGGAAGGGACCTTAAAGCCCATCTAGTTCCAACCCCCCTGCCATGGGCAGGGACACCTTCCACTAGACCAGGTTGCTCCAAGCCTCATCCAGCCTGGCCTTGGACACTTCCAGGGATGGGGCATCCACAGCTTCTCTGGGCAACCTGTCCCAGTGCCTCCCCACCCTCTCCGGGAAGAACTTCTTCCTGATATCTAATCTAAACCTCCCTGATTTCAATTTATACCCATTACCCCTTGTCCTGTCACTACAGGCCCTTGTAAAAAGTCCCCCCCCAGCTTCCTTGTAGCCCCCCCAGGCACTGGAAGGTGCAATAAGGTTTCCCCAGAGCCTTCCCTTCTCCAGGCTGAACACCCCCAACTCCCCCAGCCTGTCCCCATAGCAGAGGGGCTCCAGCCCTCAGAGCATCTCCGTGGTTTCCTCTGGGCTTGCTCCAACCAGTTGATACCCTTCTGATGTTGGGGACCCCACAGCGGGACGCAGACCTGCAGGGGGGTCTCACCAGAGCAGAGCAGAGGGGCAGAATCCCCTCCCTCGCCCTGCTGGCCACGCTGCTCTGGATACAGCCCAGGATACGGTTGGCTTTCTGGGCTGCCAGCGCACACGGCCGGCTCATGTTCAGTATTTTAGCAACGTGTGTATTATGAAAAGAATCAGTGAGTGTAGTTGTAACTGCGTTGCTAAAATTGCAGTGGTTCACACTAAATGATTTAGAGTATTAGAAGTATACATGTCATAAATTTTAAACTCCCAAACCATGCAGTGTGGGATGGCAAGCTGAGCGAGCATTCGAGCAGCATGCTTGGAGGCTTTGAGAAAAGCATCCAGATCCATTAAGAACCATTCACCGGGGGCTGTAGAGTTACCTTTTTACTTTCCTATGTATGTTACTAGATACTTCTATTCTAAACATTCCCCTTCTCGTTGTTTGAAACTGAAATGTGCTTTTTTTTTTTTTTATATCCTGATGCTTCTCTGGTTCCATTTAAATCAATGGCAAATAATTCTTGTAATAAAATGAACAGTATTAGCTGTAATTCTTGAGAAATGACTTAGTAAAATACATACTTTTCTATGCATCCCTTCAGCACGTAAGCTAACGTTTTTACTGCTTGTAGAGCGATCAAACTATTGCTTTTAATGCCATTTGTTATTTCTATAGTGAAAAGTGCGTAGAGCTTGGACTCTCCAGTAAATAGCTGGTGCATACTGTAGGACTATTTCTTGCTTGTAGGAAGCAAGGCAGTAGCTTGCAGTGTAACAGTGGGTGCGTTTCTGGGTGAAATTCAGTACTGGGAAGGGGGCCAGTTCCCGGTGATTTCATTCTTCAGTATAGAACATTAATGCAGGAATTGTGCACTAGCCAAGGGAAGCCAACTCTCCTGACCCTAATAATCCCAAATGAGTCCATGGCTAGAAGCCACAAGGCATTGAGCACGCAGCCGGGGAGAGGGGAAGCCCTGGAGCAGGTAGCAGCTGGCACCGGTTCCTCCAGTCGAGGGGAGGACTGGTGCGGAGGAGGGCTGGGCAGGCTGCTCAGCGGCCCTAAGGCACTGCCAGCTCTGGCAGCCGGTGGCTCACATTCCCCTACAGCCCAGCTCCTGTCTGCAGGCTCTTAGCAAAGCCATCGTGCTTCAACTGGTTGGGAATCGCAGGTTAACTTCCCTGGCTCTCACTCGGTAAAAGCAGCCTTATTTCCCTTACGCACTCTGCTGTAATACTTGTGTTAATGCAGCATAAGCACTCCATTTATTCCATTTTCCTCAAGGTACTCTGAGAACAAGGAAGCATCAAACCATAATCCAAAACTTAATCAGATATATGTTGATCAATTAATCAAATAATTATGATCCTAAGCATGATAGAGACAATCCCTTCTGAGAAGCTGGATCACAATGACTTGTCCTTCCCACTAACCTATCTTCTTTTGTTCAGAGAAAAGCCAGCAATACGGATTTCACCTTTCCCACTGATCCACGGAATGCTTTAGAATAAATACGGTTCGAAGTGTAGTCCCCCCAGAATAACCAAAGGCACGGAAATTCATCAGAAAAGTAGATGTTCTGTTTAAAATGTGCATTTCTTGGCACTGTATTCACCACTCAGGTGAGCAGCTGAGTTTCCTTCACATCAGTCAACCAGTTTGCCACTGACTTCAGTCCAAGACTGATGGTGTAACTTGAACCTGGGCTACACCTCCTTACCCCCAGTTAAGCCAATTCCGTATTTTCTTACATTCATTGCAGTTGGAAGCTAGTTGTTTTCTCAGTTTTTCGTAACAGAAAAGGTGCAGAAGACATAAAATCAGGGAGAAATAAATTATCTATCTTCCCTGTCCACTGTAGAGTTCCCCAGCAGGATTCCGGGCCTGAGAAGAAGTATATGGTGACCACAGTGTTTTCCTGTGGCCAAGCCCTGTGGCAGATGCTGCATTCTTGTTGTGGTGACGAAGTAGGTTCCTACACCACATGTCGTCCCTACAAAATGGAATAATTCTAGATTCAGTGTGATAGTTAAAGCTCTTGGCTTTCAGAAAACTGGGACTTAAGCAGCAAATCAAACAACCTATGTTTGAATCTGTGCCGTGACGTTGGCTCGTTAGAATCTGTTTTGTGCAGTCATAAACTTCTCTCGAGCCCCTCTGTTGTGCAAGAGAATTCCAGGCACGTGCAAGAAAATACCAACTTGCCATGGCAGATTTATTGATGAGGCAATGGTCAAATTCTTTCTTTACATGCAATTCTAAGCCTGGAACAGCTTCCTTGTCTCCAGCAGATGAGAACGAAATCTGGCTCATTTAATCTAATTTTGTCTCCGCCAACAGATCCTTCTCTCTCGTTCTGGTCTGAAGAGCTGATTTTTGTAATGGCTTCAGTATGAAAAAAAAATATACAATCTCAGCATAGACAGCCTCCAGTAATTCCTCTGGGTGTTTTATAACTCCTATTGTTAACCAGTAACTACCCTTTTTTTTGTTTGGATGATGGTGCTTGGAATACTGGACGATCTAACATTTACTCAGACAAAATGATTTATCTTCGTGTAACAGGATCAGCCTCTCAGCTGGGGCTTCGGGACGCTGCTCTACTGCAAACAAAATAAAAACCCCAGTCAGCTGAAATTAATAGCACATTGGAGCCATGTCCGTACTCTCCTTGCACATGGAAGAACGTGTTGAGGATATTAAATCAGAACACAGCAAATTGAAAGAAATGGATTTTTCCATAAATATCCAACACGTTAGATAGCAGCTATCTCTAGCAACCAGCAGCACTGCTTAAAGTATCGCTGCAACATTCCTAATGGATGGTTTTCCTTGTGGCTACGTAGGCATGTGTACCGTGCTAGCTCCCCCCTCCTTTTGCACTGCAATACGTAGAAAGCAGTTATTCCCACATGGAGCATTTGCTTGCTGACATCACATGCAGTAGGATCCTTTTGTTTGCCTGCGTCTCCTGCATTGAAATGTTTGTCTGAGTCACAAATCCCGCTGCCTTTCTTCCTCTATGTCATGCTTGCTTGAGAGCTTCTCCCTGACTCACAGCTTTTGAATTCTGACACAGCCCAGTTTGCTGCATGGCCATCGAATACTCTTCCTTTTAATATTTTATTATGTAATTTATATCTAAATGCTGTAAAGATCCCAAAATTGCTGCTACTTTTTGAACAGAGAGGTTTTGTGACTCAGGTTCAGCACTGAATTGTGTTTAAAGGCAAAGTCAGTTCAGCGTCGCTAAATTAAAAATTAAAGGCAGCGACTCCCACAGCTTGAATTCTCCGTTCAGCCCGCTGGCTGAGCCTCCTCAGCTGTAACATCATCAAGCACTACGCCAGAAAGGGGTCATACGCGTGCACCTGGACAAACACTTCTCATAACTGGAATCATCACTAGTTTGCGCTGCAGTACCTTTCTTCTCCTCTGATCTTCTCTATTTCTTTTGTCTTAATAAAAAGAGGACAAAACCTTGCTGGATTTTCAGCGCACATTCATGCTTTCATTTGGTTCAGATTCTGGAGCTGCTCGTACGCTGCCGGCGTTTCAGAAGCCCGGGTTTCCTCTTTACGAAAGCCACGGACAAACCAGATGCTGCTTACAGAACCTGGATGCTTTGGTGAAAGAAGGACACAGAAGCCAAGGGCTGTGCAGCAGTTTGATTCAGGTCTGAGTGATGGTAAAATATGCTTACTTACTAAAACATCAATTACCACGCTGGAAATCTTTGGGATGTCGGATGTAGTCATTCGCCTCTATTGTTACAAGATAAATGAGAAGTTCAAAACAGTACTGCCGTTGTCCTTGATCAAGGACTTGGCAGCAGGTAAGGGCGAATGCCCCGGTCTGGCACAGCATTTAAGCATCTGTTTATCTCCCAGCATCCCTCAGCAGCTCCACTGCCTCTACCCCGGCGCGAGGCACTGCGGAGTCCTGCACGAAGCCCTGTGAAGATTCAGACACACACAACCCCGATGAGCGATCAGGACCTCTCACTGGATGTACGGTACTAGACGTGCGCACTTCCTTACCCAGAGTACAAGAGGTGGTTGTGTTCTCCATCCCACCCCCCAAAAAGGTGGAGACTCTGGCTACAGAAACCAGGTTTTTATTATAAAACTCCGCCACACAACGTCCTGTGACAAATTCGCATGGTGCAGTCAGTGTTAAAATGATGTCCAGTGCAGGAATTTGGGTTAGGGTCTCTCAGGCTACCTCTGGCTGCATGTTCACCAGGCAGCTGGTTTTTAACTCCTGAATGGCCGTTACTTCTCCTCTTCTCTCCGTGGCCGTTTGCGAGGGTTCCTGTCCGTACCTTCTGGAGTGACAGCTGGAGGCTGCACATCTCGGAAGCCCTGAGACTGTAAGACACAAGGAACATCACAAGATAACACTCCTATGGATTGAGGCGTGAGTAACTTGTTCCCAGAAGATCTGAATAAGGTACGATGCTGTCATTTATTTTGGATGAGAGGCCGCAGAACATTCTTAGACCAGGCTAAGCTCAGAACCACAAGCTTTTCAACACACATGCCAGTTAACAACCGTGTCTCCCCATTTCTGTTTTTGAAGATACTTTCCCCAACCAGGCTATTGTTTCATTTTACTGCTAATAACCCCTATGGCTATGAAGTGCTGCTTCTCTGTAAACTAACTTCTGCTGCCTATGTAAATGAAGTAAAAGCCAATTCCTCCAGCCCTGAGTCCAGCTCCAACAGACGCAAGGAGACCGCTGGGTTAACTGCCTCAGTCCTTTTCAGAAACAAAACTGAATTTCTAAAACCTAGGATCTTTTTGTTTCAGTTACCTACTTAATGAACTGAAAACATCAATGGGCCAGTGTAAGAGA